GTACGTTCACGATTATATAACCGTTATGTAACCACGTGGCAAACGTCCACGCACGCTACTTAATTCTACTACGCTGTCTTACCTAAACCAATTAGTCTGTCGAAAACATCACTGTATCCATCGTATATCGCTAACATGATAGGCGAACAGAGAACGGCGACGCAACGAGAACCAACCAGATAAGACAAGAATTAACTATATTGATACAAACAATTTATACCTTCGCAATAAAAGTTTAAGGGGGTGGGGCCCCCGCAGAGTATCCTACAGCACACTACCACCACCACTACCCAGGTAATATTTACCAAGACGGACGTTCACGCGTACGCGAGTCTTAACAGGCCCACACCGCGAACAACCGCGCCCAGACGATATTTACCAACGGATGAACGAATGAAACGATGAAAGAGAAACGATGGTGTGCCGGGACCTGAATATGCGCGCACTGAGAGAGCAAAAAAATGAGAATAACAAATGCGTCACAACAGGCGCCAACAATCAACGGACCAGAAATGCGGCATTCAGAGAGAGATGCGTGCAGAAATTTACACAGCCAGCATCGCGACACGCTTGGTTCCATCAATTCGTTATTATCGCCATATGTCAACTGGATCACCGCAACAGACTGATCCTACAAGACATCAGCCACAACATGAGCCCCGGGCTCCGCCACGTAAACTATAGTCGTTCCATGAAACTCAACATTTTGATTTTGGAATTACGTCCCGATAAAAATAAAATCGTCTACAATGCACGGTCGCCCGCACACCCTACACTTCGTTCATCGTTCGATCGTTTCATCGCTTTCACTCGTTCTGCTTCACACCCGTCCTGCGTCGTGCCCGCGGTGGCTCTTGTAACTTTCAGCTGAGGGGTCACCGCCAGCCGATCCGGCTGAGGGAAAATAGCTAATAACAATTCTAATGTACCACTAGGCAACCGCTCCGAGCAAATCCGCCCACCGCAGACTGCACTCTACCACTATACCGACACGAACCCTTCCGCAAAACGTCGTGGAAAAATAGTTTACTTCTCGCATGTTGCGACCACCACCACACTTCTCCATGCCGAAATCCACCAAGAACCTCCGCACCTCAGCACTGCGCCGCGCTCTTGCGCCACCAACGGCCTCGACCCCCGAGATTGACAACTCTCACAAACGTTCCTGCCATCCCAAAGTGCTAGATTACAGTCTGTTGCACCCAACCCTACGCACGACCCCACGCCACCTTCACCGTCGCTGCTGCACAACCAACCTCCCATCGACAGCAGCGCAGGAAAACTCCCGGTTTGACCTCACGCAATCGCACAAAACTTGTTTATCCTATATCACCAACGCTTGGCTCGAGTGAACGTAGCGCCTCGAGTGTGTCGTGATGACGGATCCATAACCTATCATAGCCGCCACTAACGCTAGCGGCACCGCCCACCCCCACCGCAGGCATCGACCGCCTCACACCCACGCATACCGTGTAGACATGATTGATAGTCGCACAGATCATGGCAGCCCATCTACTGACCCCTCGACCCACCCACCGAAGAAGAAAGGAGATGGGCAATTATAATTTACTAACACAGGTGATATAATGCGAGGTGTATAAAGAAGAGATGATGTAGAGAAGACAATTAAAGATTAACTATGAGGAAAAACGGTCGAAGAGAGTGATATTAAATGAGAAGTAATACTGGAAAGAATGAAAGAAAAATTACTTGATATGAACAGAATTTTATGTCAGCATTAGTAATATCTATTCAATAGAGAAGACACGCGATTCGCTTCAAGGCCAAATGTGTGTTGTGGTGGATGTGTGCGAGTGAAGAAGAGAGATGAGCAATAAAGGAGATAGAGTAGAAAGTATAAGAAGGGAACGAGAAAGAGAGAAAAGAAGATGAAGAAGACAGAACGAGATCAGAAGACACAATAATAGGCGCGCAGCTATATGCCACAAAATATAGCAAAGGTGATTACACTTCGAGGAAGTGTTGATCAAAAATTGAGCCGATATAGTAGAGAGTAATAGAAAGTAAGAGAAGGGAACAGAGAAATGGAAGCGTGCGAGAGAAAAGAAGTAAAAGAGAGCCAAAGAAACCCTGCCAGTAGAAGACAGTGAAGGAAGAACGAATAAGAGACGCAGAGGAAGAGAGAAGGAGTACGTGTAGGACTAGAGGTTGATTAGGTTAGTGATACTGTGTCGAGGGTAGTATCAGCAGTAGGTATGGAAGGTGGTAGGTAGTCCACGTTGATGGGTGTGAAATTGTGATGGTACGTTGTGGTAGAGATGTGGTGAGCTGCGTGACGTCCTGATCGCCGCAATATTACAGAAAGACAAGCACCACAAGAGCACCCCGCCCCCCCCCGAGCCACCCCGAGACCGCCGCCCAAACCCCCAGATCACACAAACGCGACAAGCCCCCCCCACACCCAGACAAACACCAGACAGCCAATCTCAACCCCCCCCCACCCCCCCCACCAGCACAGCCCAACCACCTCCGCCCCCCCCTCCCCAGCACACTCCCCGAGAGCACCTAGGTCTCAAGACAATTACAGCCACCCCGCCCAGCCCCATCCCCCTCACGTGGAAGAAATTGAGTGAAGTGACAAGAAAGAGGAGAACGGAATGGAGAGAAGTAAAGAAGAAACAGAGAGAAGAACGCTAGAGGTGTGCTATGAGAGAGGAGGGAGAAGAAGAAGCTATCAGATAAGTAGTGTGATGAGATTAGGAGAGAAGAGTAGAGAAAGAGAAGAAGAGGAGACGAGCCGCCACCTCGCCACCCCGCCCCCACATTTGCTCACCGCACACGGAGGCGCGAGAGGAGTAATGAAGGAATGAGAGAGTGAAGTTTAAGAGTGAGAAGGGAGAGGAGGGAGGGAAAGAAAGAAGAAAACCCACCCCAGAACCCCACCCGCACACAACACCAAACAGGTTATTTTTGGAGAGGAAGAATGAGGATACTGAAAGGGTGAGGGGAGCAGCAGGGAGAGGTGGAAGGAGTGATATAGAATGAGAGAGGAGAATATAGGGACACCCCCGGCCGCCCTGAGAGACGAACCTATATCGAGCCCCCCCCCACGCTATCAGGTGAGAAGTCACACACCCACAACACCCCCACCCCTCAACACAACCTCCCACCCCCGTAATACACGCATCCTATACAAAATGACACACAACACACACGGAAGACCGGGGCCTCGCACAGCGGGCAAATACGAGGGGGGAAAGAGTAGAGGAGAGAATAAAGACACAGTATAGACGAAAGCGAGCGCGCACACGCGCCCGGAGTACATCGAGAGAGCGCGCCCATGCAGCGAGAGGAGCGACAAGGGGTCGACTACACACACACACTATACACATGAACACACACACACACACACCACCGCCCACCACGCGCGGACACAGCGCGCCCAGACGCGCGCGCGCCCGCCGCCACACCAACGAGTGAAAACGTTTGCCACAACAAAGCCCGTCCCCCCCCCCCGCCGCACCCCCTTCCTCCGCGTGCTCACAGGGCACCCCCACCCCCCCCCCCCCCCACCCATTCTTCCGACGCCCCCCCCCACACACCCCCACCCGACCCCGACCACCCCTACCCAACACCCCCCACCCCCCCCCCCCACCGCCCCCCCCCCCACCCCCCCCCACCCATCCCCCCCACGCCACCCCCCCCCTCACCCCCCCGCCCCGCCCACGCCCGCAGGGCCCGCCACCCACCCCCCCCCCACGCCCCCACCCCAACCCCTCCACCCACCCCAACCCCCCCCCCCCACCCCCGCCCCCCCCCCGCCCCGGCGCGCACCCCACCAAAACCCCCCCACCCCCACTCCACCCACCCCCCCCCCCCCCCCCCACACCCACAACACCCAAAACGAGAGAAGGAGCAAGATGTCACATCCAGGAATAGTAGAGAGCATATGAAAAGTGATGTAATTATGACTGAGAAGACCGAGGGGATAACAGCCACAGGAGAATTGACATAAAGGAGAGCGATAGAAGGAATGGCGCGTAATAATGGAAAACGAGGAATCAGTAAGAGAGAACAGTAAAATAACTTGTACAGTAGAGCCTGCATAGTCAGTCCGAGTGGATGAGAACAAGTCACATAAGCCGCGGTGAATACTAGACCAAGCGACCAAAACACACACACCCAAAAACAACCCCGCCAACACCCCCCCCCCACAACAACAAAAGGAACGGTATACAAAGTAGGAGGGTACAATGCCGACGGATGGGGGAGCGGAAGTGGAAACGGTGTGCGGAGGGCAGGGGAGGCAAGGGGGAGGATAGGAGGAAAAATGCGGGCAGGGGGAGGGAGCGAAGGGGAAAGAAGTGGGTGAGAGAGAAAGAGGGCGAAGGGGGAAAGGGGTGTGAGGGAACAAGAACACAGCAAAGTAACAAATTAACCCCGTCCCGGCCAATTAACCCCCCACCCCCCGAACATATTGTCCCCCCCACCCCACTCCCCTCTACCCCCACCCACACCCCAATGCCACTTTAACACCACCCCCCCACCTCACACCACACGCCCACACCCACTCCCCTCCCCCCACCACCCCCCACACCAACCACCCCCCCCAACCCGACATTTAGCAGCCCGGACATGTTACCCCGCCGGACATTGACCCCCCTCCACGGATCATTTACGACCACCACAACCCCACCCCACACACCCACCAGCCCCCGCGCAACAATACATTACACTGACCACCACCCCCCCCCGCCGCCCACATGTTAACCTAATCAAAATGGTTCCCCCACACTTGTTACAGCCCCCACGGACCCACACTCATCACACACACCCCCTGCGACATCTTAACCGCGCCGTCGACCGGCACCACACGCACAACACATATACAACCACAAAACAAAACCCGGCGCAATACCCTACACAACCCCCGACAATCTAAGCCCGCATCGCCATTTCACCCCGACAAATTACCCACCGGACAAGTTACCACCCAGGGGATGTTACCCCCCCATGCCGAAGTTCACCCTACCAAAAAC